CTGATGGCTGACCCAGGGAACATCTCTCAAAGTCTACTTTGCATAGAGGCCAATTTGACCTCGTACTCTTGTCACTGGAGGAAAAGCTCCTCAAGGAGTTGCCTAGCTGGAACTGCGTAGCAGCCCCACGCCTGTGATCGCTCTGCAGAAGCAACCTGAGGCGGCTCCTCAGATCACGGAGGGAGGCGGGTGCTCTCAAAGTCTTTCAGTTTCCACAGACCCATTTGCTGAGGAAGCCAGAGCTGGCTCGGACATCCCAAGCTAGTGACAAGTAATCTCTAGAGTCACAAAGAATGCACGATCAAGTAAGTAACTAAACTCCAAGTCAGTCCTCGCTCAGATGTGGCTGACACTCACTAAGAAGCTAGAGAAAACAATCCATCCACATGTTATCACATTATATAAACAAACTAAATATTCCACTACTAGTGCCAGGTTCAAAATTCCACTATTCTATCCACTAGAAAGCAAAACAAAATGCATTTTTCAATATACAATAAATATCCTTATTAAAGAAAATTTGAAAAACAGGATAAAAGAATCTAATACAAAAACAAAAAAGTAGGAAATAGCCATAAAACGTTCCACTCAGAAACTGAATCTGTCAACATTTTGTACTTTCTTCCACATTTCGCCCTCACGTCTTACACCAAGTGTTAGCACACAGTATACACTTGCAGCAGCTGTGTCACTTAAATTATGTCGTAACTGTCTCTTCGTATTTTTCAGAGCCTTGTAACTACAGAGAAGAGGCAGAAAAAAAGATGTGAAATTAAACAAAGTCAAGAAATACCACTCTCAAACTTTGAAAAGAAAAAAAAAAAAGAAATACCACTCTCTGTTCTACAACTACTACTGTACTATTAAAAACCGAGACTTTCCAAAGCCTGGTTACTAGAAGTAAAGTACATACAAATGTCTAGACATATAGAGAGTGCTTAAGAACAGCTACAAGACTTTTAAGTGACAGAGGAAGGCAAAAGTATTTAGTACATCATCACTAGAAAGATACAAAAGAAATAAATTTAGCCTCTAATCCCAAGAAAATTTTAATTGATATCACTGAGAAGGTACAAAACACTCAATCCCAGCAACTAATGTCCACGGTAATTCTGCGTGCAGTAACCCTGGCTCTGTAGGTGATGAAAACCTTTATTCACCTCGTACCCCTAGCCCCTAGCATCGAAAACACTTCCTCGCATATCACAGATTCTTTTTTAACTGTCTGATGCACAGTACTGAACTAAAGACTAAGATATATGATTAAAGATCAGACCAGGAGCCGGGGAGATAGCTCAGTAGAGTAAGTGCTTGCCTGGCAAGTGCAAGGGCCTGAGTTCAATCCCCGGTTCCACCAAAAAAAAAAAAAAAAAAAAAAAAAAGATCAGACCAGATGTGGTAGCACACACCTCTAATCCCAACATTCAGAAGGCTGAGGCAGGAAAATCACCATAAGTAAAGAGCTAGCCTAAGCTGCATAGTGAATTCAAGACCAGCCTGAACTACACTGAGGAAACTGTCTGAGAAAAGAAGAAAAAAAAATAGGATCATTGTGAGCTGAGATTATCAGACAGCATGGACACCACAGGATTTTTGCAGGAAGGAGGCTAACCTATAGAAAACTTGAGATACTCTATAAATGCAACAAAATATAAAGAAAAATGTTTGTGGTCCTTTTATATAGTTCTATTTTTCTACCCAAGGAACACTGGTTTTTCTGCTGCACATTTTAATTACTCATGGAAAATGTAACATGTAAAACATAACAGATAACATTTTAAAACAAAGAAAACACACAAATATACCCGCACAAGAACTAGAACACCTTTGGGACATCAAAACAAGGGCTAATAGGCTGCGGAGACAGTTCAATGGCATAAGCACCTGCTTTGCAAGTGCAAGATCATGAGTTCGATCCCCAAAGAAAATTCAAAAAAAGAACAATTGCTAATTCTCTGATGCTTTCTGTGTGCTGTGACAAGAGGATATAAAATACATTATGGGGGCCGGGGAGCTGGCTCAGTGGAATAAGCACTTGCCTGGCAAGCACAGTGGGCTGAGTTCAATCCCCGGTTCCACCAAAAAAAATAAAATACATTATGGTGCCCCACACAGAGTGCCACAGGGGATGCTGTCCATGCCAAACTAAATGTAGGAGAAGGTGCTTCCCCAAACACTCTTCCAGTATGTCTTGACATTTCAGAAAAGATACTTGCTTATACTGCTGAAATTCTGAGATGGTATACAAAAACTTCGATGTGCATTCAACTCTAGCAGCTGTACATTTACACCACCTGACACTGAGCATATTTTAAGAGAAAGTCCAGCCTCAGGCCCAGGATGTTCCTCTGCAGTCTCTATGTGCCCTAACAAGCTTTTAAACTAATACACGCTTGCCGTGCTATTGCACCGTCTCCATTTTTACACATTCCTACTTTACTAAACTTATGTTTCAAAAAAATTCCAAGAATTTGCAGAGAAGGAATTTGCTCATATCACATGTCTAACAGCTGCTACTAGGACTAAATCCACAGCTTCTTCTGTTACACTATGTGGCCATCTCAGAAAGTATGCTTCGGAAAAGCCTGGTTTCCCTCAGAACAACCAATTAAATAAAGGTAAACCTACCCTAGAGGGCTGACTGCTTTAAGAGGAAACTGCAGAGCTTAGAGGTTGGGTAGCTGATAATTCTGTCCGGATTGAAACACAGTTACTTATAATGAAGTATCTGCAGGGGCTACCCATTCAGTCTCCCTCCCAGCTGCACTCAAGAACAAAAGCCCATCAGCAAGTCATTTAGGAGTAAGCAGCCCACTGGAAGCGCTGCACTCGCTTTCAGGGCAGATGTTCTTTGTTTTTCTTAAAACACACTCAAGACAATGGTAATTAAAGTCTATCAGGTAATTAAGTGGAATTACAATACACATACAGGATAGGCTACTGGGGGGAAAAAAGTTTCAGGAGTCCAAACAAATGCAAAGAGAAGAACTCAAGCATTTTCTCAATTTTTTTACTGGTAATTTTGATTTTTAAATTTTGTTATGCTTCATCACACAAACTATCTTACCCCAAGAAGGCAAACTGTTAATGTTTTAATCTAAATACAGCACTTCTCTCTAGGACATCAAAAGATTTAGAAACCTAACAGTAATTACTGTGTAATCACTCAAAAAAGACATGTGGCATAACATTTGTAACGCTGAGCTGCACCTGTCATCAATTTAACAAAGGAATATTTTATATACAAGTGACATAGCTTTGAACACTTGACAAGTCCATTAAACTGATCCATAATAAGAATCCCACTGCTAAATGCAATACAAGTAACCAAAAGTTGGATTAGCATAAACTGTCTTCTAAATTTAAGACATGCTGAATACACTCTGGGCAAGTACTCAATATGTCCATATTTATTTCTGCATCAACAAATGGGCAAAATAACAATGCTTAAACACTACTGATTAAATGAATTAATTCACATTAAGTTCTTAGAATGGAGCCTAGTAAAGGGCAACAAAGAAACATCTGCTACCATGTCATGAACATTTTAAAATAAAAATAATGAAGGGCAATTAAAAAGGATAATCCTAAAATAAATGCACAGTTCTCATGACCTTTAAAGTATGCACAGGATATACACCAAATAATGGGAAAAGAATTATTTTTTTTAAAAAAAAAGACAGCTATACCCCTTCAAAATGAGTTACGTGGTTTGCAAGATGCGATTCTTCCTCCCAAAATGTGGAGGTACATCCCAGCTCTTAATGGCAAGAGAGCCACAAAATTAGTCTCTCAGGATGGCAAAATCAGGTTAAGGTTATATGAAGCCTTTAGCATTTTCTACTTTTATTACTAAACCACCAAGATGAAAGTATTCCTGAACTAAAGTGCCAAATGTTTCTGTAATAAAAACTGCAAACTTTCATGTAAGCAAATCCTTCCAACAATAGGGAGTTGTTCCAGCCTGTGAATAGGGCAGTGTCCGTGTTACCAACACAGTGGGAGCTGGGCATTCCTGACACCCTTGTCCCCCAGTTAGCCTCTGGTCACTTCTATCTCCCCAGAACAGCACATGAGAAATACAGTTCTGGAAATAACTTTTAGGCTAAGTACACGGTCACCAACGACACGCTGCGACGGCCTTCTCACAAAGCCCTGATTCCTGAGCTTGGGGGCCGACCCGCACTTTTTCTACCCACAATCCTGCGCATCCCCCTAGAATGAACACCAAACACAAGAACCCTTTGTCTTCCTAAATCTGCCCACCCCCCACTCCCGAAGAGTCCTTTGATATTTTAATCTGTATTTTCTGAAAAACATCAAATGGTGCCAACAAAGCCAATGAATAAAGGACCTCAAACCTGCAAACGGTCCTGGCTGGTAACGGGCAGGATAACTACTGGGCAAAAAGTGCGAGAGTGCTTTTGCGCAGTTTGAAACTACAGCGCTGAGTCCCGACGCTGCGCTGGGAACCGACTCGGACCCGGACTCGGCCTCACGGAGCCCGCTCGCGCCAGCCTGGCGGCCGCCCCGACGACCGCACTCCGGGCTCGAGGCAGCGGGGCTGCAGGCTGGAGCCCGCGCGGGCGAGTCAGCCCCTCAGCAATACCCTCGCTCAGTATTTAAAATTAAACAGGCCGGGGACGTCGCCGAGGCCCCGGCTTCAAGCCCCTGTTGTGAACCGGCACCGGGCGGAGGCCGCCGCCTGGCCCGAGGCTCGCGCAGGCCCCGGCGGCCGCACGCAAAGCAGCCGGCCCGGGCGGCCCTGCAGGCTCCCGAGTTCCCGCC